GTGATGCTTCAAGTATTTAGCGATAACTGCTATTATTATACACTCACTATCTCTTTTCAGATTGGCCGAAAGCGTACAGTGAATTTTCGAAATCAGCGCCTGGGACATTATCAGGCTGCAGATTATACATTAATCATGTCATGGACACTCAAGGTCACGGGTAATCATGTCATGTATGACCGCGGTGTATGATTTCTAAGGGTAATCATGTCAAGTTCGCGCGCTTTGTGTTGCTTGCCGTCAGTGAAGAAACAAAAACATGACTTCCAGGTTTGCTTCGTTGTCCAAGCAAGACAAATATAGCAAGGCATCGAAAAAGTGGTTGAAGACAAGGACTCACAAACACAAAAAGGTCGACGAAGGTGGCAAAGGAGCTGTTTGCTGATGACGTGAAAGAGAAAAACTGAGAGAACCTGAGGAAAAGAAAGAGTTGGCACAAACTTTGAAAACATTTTATGTCGAAGCGAGAAAGAAAGGATTCGTTCAATGTATAATAAAACAATTATTAGATCTTAGCTGTTGAAAACTTGGCAATCTCCATTCGTCAAAATGTTGATATCAAAGGAATTAAAATAGAAAATCACGAAGCCAAGCTATTGCAATACGCAGACGATACCACAGCAATCCTGTCTGATGAAAATTCTGCAAAAACGTTATTTGAAGAACTAGAAGTATTTAAGAACTTCAGTGGATTGGAGATAAATAGCTCTAAAACAGAAGGAATGTGGATTGGTTCGCTTAAAAGAAAAGATGAAAAACCGTTTAGTATTAAATGCCCAAGTGAACCCACAAAAGCTTTAGGAACCTTTTTTACATATGACCTATCATTACTTTACGAAAAAAACTTTCAAGAGAAGGTTGACAGCATAAAGCAGCTGACAAATATATGGTCAACTAGAGGACTGTCCATTTATGGTAAAGTAACTATAATCAAATCATTACTTATTCCAAAACTAGTTTTTATATCTTCGGTTCTTTCACCTCCAAGTAAAATCATCAAACAAGTGAATAGTTTGATTTTCTCCTTTTTATGGAATGGAAAGGATAAAGTAACGAGGCTCTCTTCAATAAACAGTTAAGAAGACGGTGGCATAAAAATGACAGATATTGAAAGCTTGGTCAAAGCTGTACGACTAGCTTGGCTAAAACGTTTTTTCAGCGATAACGAAAGTACGTGGAATTCTACTTGTTACATCTCCTACGTAATGTTGGTGGTCTTTTACTTTTTAAATGCAATTATGCAATGAATGATCTTTCAATTAACTCGGTTTTCTACAGAGAACTCTTAGAATGTTGGTTAGAATTTCCAAAACTCTTTTTAGCTAACAAACAACGGCTCTGTATAATTTGGAATAACAAAGATATAAGAATAGATGGAAAACCGGTCTTTTATAAATCTTATTATGACTCGGGGATTTGTATCATTAAAGATCTCTTGTTCAATCTCAACAATATAGAATCCTTTAATGCAATTAATAACATAGTTGAGAAAGCTAATTTTCTTACATGGACAGGTCTCAGGCACGCAATTCCTTCTATTCTGAAACCAATAGAGTACACTACCTTTACAGAAAATACTCATTACTCATTTTACAAAGGGGAATGAGATTTTTGACATAGCGGAAAAGAAAACGAAAGACTACTACTCTTTCATAATAATTACCTAGTAATGCAAAGAATTTAAAACATGAAGAAGAGAATGTTTTGCAGCATCTGTTTTAGCATTTGCATACTTCATAAGATACGATTTGTTGAAAAATAACTGACAATTTGATGCTGTAGTTGTATAGCACTTGAAGTAGTCTTGAGTAATACTGAGTAATACATGAAGTTTATGAAGTTTATTTTTCTAATGTTAAAGGACTGCTATACACCATGTTATGTTGGTTTGTTATGCTATCATTTTGATAATAAATTTTTATTTGACTTGCTCTTGATTCCTTCAGTATTGTTTCTTTTTGGTGGAACGGAAACTGGAATGCAGAAAAATACATGGCCCCTCAGAAATGGTTGCACAATTTTATGCAGCCCCCTATTTTCAGGTGCACAAAAAGGTATGACCCCACCCCATTTGCACCAGCCCAACCCTCCCTCTAATAAATGACCGGTCCCTAAGTATAAAAGTGTCTAAATAAGCATGAGTCTTCGCTTTTTGGCAAACAATAACAACTTTATTGGCCACTCCAGAAAATACCATAACATACCATAATGCTCTTTGTTTGTCACCCCAAAATTTTGCATAAGCATTGTCTTCAGTTTCTCTTGGGAGTTAAAATGGCCCCAAGAGAAACTGATGACAATGCTTATGCAAATTTTGGGGTGACAAACAAAGAGCATTATGGTATGTTATGGTATTTCTGCAGTGGTCAATTATGCGTCTGAGCGGTTTACATTAAGTGAAGTTGACATTATATAACAAACTTGACAAAACAACCTGATCAATGGTGTCTTTACTAAATTCGTGACCTTTTCAGAGGACCTCTTTCCAATTTTTACTTTGTTCTTGGATGATTGTTATACATTTCTGCAAACAGTTTCTTTTAAAAGTGTTTTTTTTGCTAAAATTGCTACCCAGATTTTTCTAAAATTTGCGTCCACTAAAAGAAGGGACACGTCTTTATACTTTTAGCTACTAAGCTTCTTCGTCTTGTTTACTTTTTACCAAGACGATATTGGAAAGAACCGTTTGATACACAGCCGTCTTACAGATGAATTTTCGTAAGGTACCTTCACACAACAACTGCCCTAGATTGTCCCCTATGGGTCCCTATGCGGACGACGGACGTTGGCCCTCATTGGCGCTAGTTGATTTTACCAATCTTTTTCGTACAATATCATAGAGGTCTCGCTTTTCACAAAATATTCACATTCTGTCAATTTTGCTCGTTCAAACAGTAGTTCTTTTCCTTTGTCAACCATAGCTTCCTGTTGAAATGAAACAAATCTAAAATTTCCATGAATGAACCGAGCAGCTGTTTGGACTTGTTGTAGCAAATGAGCCTGAAATAACTCGGGATCTTGTGTGAAAATGCTGCAACTCCAAAGAATAAACTCCGAGGTGGGGGTAATTCGCCCGTGACTGAAAGAAATCGGTAAATGATCGTCGATGCATTCGTCAACAAACAGTTGGTCGCCATCCTTGAGTATAAAATCAATGTTGGTTTCTTCAGCCTGAAAAGGAAACCACTCGAGAACGAGCGTTTTGCTCGGAAACAAGTTCTTGACGACAGTGGGAGACAAAATTACTTCAGCGAAGTATTCTCGAGTGCACAGTTGTAGTTTGCGTTCGCTTTTTGGAAGATTTTTGAGCTGACATTTGTCTATGTCGGACCCCAGGATGTGTTGTACCAGCACCTCTCTGTAATCAGTACGAGAAGTATCTCGCTGAAACGAAGTGGTCAATCGTTGTCGGGTAATGTTCGGAAAAATCTGCCGTACGTGATTTCCCAGAGCTTCGGACAGGTGTTTTCCATAGCTGCGACCTCGGAAGTCTGGGTGAATTCTTCTTGCCCTACTCACGGCCGTCTTACCATTATCTACAACAACCTTAGCCTCCAAACCGATTATTTTGCCATCTTTAATAGCAACCATAACCATGACGTTTTCCTGTTTAAGCCAGTGATGATACTTGAACGGTAGATAATCATGTCCTTTGTATATACCCTTGGATATTTCCTGAACCTCGTCGAAATCTTGCAATGTAGCGAGTCGAAATGACAAATTGTCCGCCATCTTCCACTCAATAAGGGGCGTGACAGGTAATGAAATACACCCGTCACGCAAGGATTATTAGGGACCTTTAGTAAGCATGGTAAGGGCCTGTTTACATGGAGTGGGGGACCCCGGTATAGTGGGATAAGTTTCTTTTGTTTTCACGCTCTGGGAGACACAAAACAAAAGAAACTTACCCCACTAGTCCGGGGTCCCCCACTCCATGTAAACAGGGTATTACAGGGACCGCGGAGGGGGAGGGGCTGGTAGGGCCGCGGCCCCACCACTTTTTTGCGCCCCCGCCCCCACTTTTGGAAAATCAAATACTATGATTTTATTCCTTTTTTCGATTCTCAATATGAAAAAATTATTTTCAATCGTCAGCCCTCCCACTTTTCACCTTGTTCCGCGGTCCCTGTATTAGAGTGGGCGACGGCAACTTCAACCGGACGTGACATCATCATTTGTTGGATATTGCGCATGCTCTTACTCACCACCTTGCCGTCGTGGTCCCGTCCTGTCGCTGACCAAAAGGATCGCGGCGTCTGGGAACGAGCGTCGGCGACGTGAAACTGTTGTCAGCCAATCCTGACAATATTTGCTACGCTGTACTAGACTAAACTCCCCAAATCCCCCCCTCCCCTTATCCTAGAGTAGCTGTTTTCCAGAAACAACTGAGATCACTAGCACAGTCCAGCCTTAAACAAAACCGATTTGATATTTTTGTATTCTTGAGGGGCAGTTCCTGGCTTCCCTTGTCTAGACTAAAATCTTGATCTGCCAATTGATCAGTTTAAATGGAAAATGATACACTCCTCTAGACCCAAACTCTCTGATTTATATACCCTATCCCTAAACTGCTTGAAAACCATACCCTTCACAGCGGCACATACCTATATCGCCCACATATGGCAGTACCCCCCCCCGGGTCACCTTGCCGTTCCCGTCCTAAAAAAAAAGCTTTAAAAATTCGCTGTTAAAAATTTGGTCATTCCACTTCGTAGTTATGCAGGGACTGAGAAGAAATGTACAAAAAAGCGTGATGCACGTGTAGAGTTGTTGTTTTGCTCATGAAACTATTGCCTTTTTGAATTTCCCGTTGCCGTCGCCGTCGTACTGTTTTGTATGGTCCCTATATTCTCTTGCCCCGATCCGAGGACTGGTAAAAAATGTGGACCCCTATTCTCTCTGCACCCCTTCTCGGCAAGAAATGCCTTGATTGTCAGGCTACTACATTTCTCACAGATATATCAAATCATAAAGAAGGGTGTAGTGGAGGGCCGTAGTGG